TAGGGTTTAGGGAGATTTTTCATTGACAATTCTAGGGTTTAGGGTTTAGGGCTCTGCATGGGAGTTTGAGAAAAGAAGGGACCGTAGCAGAGACGCTAAGTGGGAAGACACCCTCAAAAATGGGGCACCCACTTATGAAAGTTTAACCCTCAACCCGAAACCCTAAACCCTAAACCCTAAACCCGAAACCCTAAACCCTCAAAAAGGGACAGTACTTGTGAAAGTTTAAGAGACCTAACTCCTAAGCCCGGACACCCTAAAGCTCAAAGGCCTGAGCCAGGACCCTTCAGACATCCAAGGTTTAGGGTTTAGGGTTTAGGTTTTAGGGTTTAGGGTTTAGGGTTTAGGGTTTAGGGTTTAGGTTTTAGGGCTTTTAGGGTTTTGGGTTTTTAGGTTTTAGAGTTTAGGGCTTTTAGGTTTTAGGGTTTAGGATTTAGGGTTTAGGTTGTAGGGTTTATAGGGTTTAGGGTTATATGGAAAGCCCAGGTGGCGTGCCATTGCGATCCGTTCTTGGTGTGGAGTCGGCCGAGGTCCCCCCCGGTTATTTACTAGGTGAGGGTTTAGGGTTTAGGGTTTAGGGTTTAGGGTTTAGGGAGTTGTTAATTTTCCGGCTTGTTCACAGTGGACCCCAAAAGATTGCAACATGGGTTTAGGATGGTTCGTGCTGGAATTCCTCTGCTTGACTAGAACCCTAGCTATCTAGACCCTAAGCCCTAAGCCCTCAAACCCTAAACCCTAAACCATCCATGAATGCTTCTTGGTGCAGCTGAAATCGACACCTAGTTTAGAAGACAGCCCTATTCCGTGCTTTCTGTGGGTTTCTGGGAGGCGGGGGCACCTTGTTTTGGCGTCTTTACTTGTACTACGGCCTGGGGTTCTAGAGTGCAGAAGGGTCCCCTAAACCCTAAACCCTAAACCCTAAAACCGAATGTGGTTTCAGGTATACTCCTTAGTTAGGCTAGGGAGTCTGGAGTCGGACACGAGGTACTACGGTTTGGGGGTTCGGTGGTTAAGATCTCATAGAGTATAGAAGCCTAAATAAAGACCACTACTATTTTGGAGGTTCCTTCTTACAATTAATACGATAATGGAGCTCAAAACCCCATTCTAATTATAAAGGCTCTTACATTAGGGTTGAGGGGTTGAGGGTTTTGCGGGCCGCTTGTTCTGCGTCGGGTTGCAGGCTTGGGGTTCATGTCGTTGAGGTTCGCCGTTCTTCCTCTTAAGTCTTACGGTTTAGAGTTTAGGGTTTCGGTTTTAGGGTTTAGGGTTTTAGGGTTTAGGGTTTAGGTTTAGAGTTTAGGGTTTGAGGGTTTAGGGCTTAGGGTTTAGGCATCCGAAGCAACAGAAAAATTCAAACCCCGTCCAAGCCCGCAACCATAAACGAGGCCTGCCAGGAACTCTGTGCCGAAGAAGAGGACGCTGGGCAGTGCGGTTGGGGATTGATAAGGGGGCCCGAATGATCTGTGAACAGACCCGCCTGTAGTCCCGAATTCTAGCATAAGGAACCCCAAACTCTAGTACTATCATTAGTTACAGTAAGTATATATATATATATATAATATGTATCGAAAAATATTCTATCCTCGTTCTGCAAGTCTAACCAACAATGACTGGATAAAGCTATAATTCTAATCAGTTAGTATAGCATACTATATCCCAACACCCTAAGCCCTAAACCCTAAACCCTTAACCCCTAAACCCTCAACCCCATAAGCCCTGAACCCCTAGGCCCTAAACCCCAAACCCAAACCCCTAACCCTCAAAGCCCTAAACCCAAACCCCAAAACCTCATTCTGTTTCTCCAGGTCCTTAGGTTACGGCTTGAAGGCTGGCTCTTCGGTCGCAGCCTCACCGTCCGAGTCGTCGACCCTACGTCCGACCTCCTAAACTCCGAACCCTGAACCTTCCTGGACCTTAAATGACCGAAGTTTAGGGTTTAGGGTTTAGGGTTTAGGGTCATAACCTACCTTTCTTTTTTAAGGACGTGTAGAAGGACATCATAAGAAGGAGCCCTGAAAAGGAAGGCTTTTATAGGGTCCAGGTACGCCCTTGAGCCGAACCCCTGGCCCTGAACCGAAGCTTTCCCTCCGGCGCTCGCAGGGTTTAGGGGTTTAGGGTTT